TCTGGATACCACAAGCCTTTCAAAGTTGACATCTTCCTCAGCTGCATAACCACAAGCAGCTCCCTGCCTAGGTAACAGGGGAGTCCGTATCACCCTATTAAAAAAAGTGTAAGCCAAGAAGGGCCATCCACCATTTTTACGTGGCAAGACAGAGGACAAGTTGGACGCTGGAGCACCCAGAGCCACAGGAGCTGTGGAAGCCTGAATGCTTACCAGAGAAGAGGTGCTCAGGACAACTTGGACAGCAACTCATCTCTTGACCAGAGTGGGAGACTGGGCTAGGTGGAGCCTCATTTATATAGCACCCTCTATTCAGGTATTGCCTCAGCTGCTACAGCCACATGGTAGCAGGTAGATGCTCTTTCTGACATCCTGACTCAGACATCTTCCTGTCAATCCATTACCAGCTAGTGGACACTCCTACTTCAAAAAAAGTCAGGGGCATGAGGGAAGAGAGCCATGGAAGAACTCCTGCTCCTCCATCTGTCCCTTAAGTCATGCTCTGCTTGGGATCACATTCAATTGCTTAAAAAGAGTTCACCTGCCCAGTTGAGGGACCTCACCTCCTCCTCTGGTTCCTCCCCCAGCAAAAAAGCTGGTATAACAAACTGCAGAGCCGAGTCCGCTTGTCTATGCCAGACAGAAGTGTTCCCAGACTTGCCACCATACAGACATCTGGGAAAGAGACAAGAGCCAGCCTGAGTTTACACTAGATACACTTCACCCATTTACTTCCCTTAAGCCTTCATCTCCATGTGATGGAGAAGGAAAGCTTCTCCCCCATCATCTCCACCCATGTAAGTGTTGTGGGTGCCAACTGACTGCATGTTGCTGACAAAAGGGCCAGCTGCAACCATTCCTGTTGCCTCCTCCCAGGTACCAGTACCATAGTGACTCACAGATACATTAAGGGAAAGAGAAACTCCTCTGCCCACATCCTAACCCAGGAGAGCATATAAGGAACCTGGAATCCTTACTGAAGGAAGGGGACCCTCCCCAAAATAGGTTATACATGTATATACAATCTGATGAGATTAGGGGGGCACCAGCTTTCATCATCTTAAGCTCCACCTAATCCTTCTGACACTTTGGGGATTACAGCAAAAACAGTGTCAGAACCGGTACTCAAGTTCTGCTTACAGGCAAGAGCCTATGGCCCAGCCCTAGTAATGAATGCCCCCAGCTGCTGGGTTCATATATCTACCACAAGCCTGCCCAGCTCAGACCGTTCTGGGTCTTCTTGCCCTCAAGACAAAGATCTCATGCAGTAACCTCTTTTCTTCAACACCCACCCCACCTCACTTCCACTGACCCACGGTTATTCACAATCACATAAACCCTCCTGGAATGGCTCAGACGCTTTGAACGGGTTCCATAGCACTCATCCACATAGATCTTTGGGGAGACATTTGGATTGGTTGTCACTCTGGCCTCAATATGGATGGGAGATCCTGTTCTGAACACCAGGGGCTTGTCTACAAGACTGAAGTCCTCTGTGGGGAGAAGAGAAGAGATTGAATTATTGTCCTCCACTTGTCCCCACTAAGGATGGAGCACTTCAAAACAGATCCCCCATACATAAAACTTATCCACTCAGCACGAGTCAGTGTCCCATATGTCTCATTTCTCAGGAAATGAACTATTACACTTACCAGCCCATCTCTATCCTGTAGGGCAACCAAGGGGTGGGGTCTTGCATCTTGAATCAGAGGTTTAAAACAAAAAAAAGTGTGACTGGCAGAAGTCACTGCCACAAAACCTCTTCTGCTCTCCAGAGCAACTGGACTAGGTATTGCTGTTCTCCACATTTAGGGCAAGGGTGTCAGACTTGTCTGACCCCATGGGCCAGATAAGTGGCATGAGGCTGGGTCAGGCCCACAGCCTCCCTGCCTACAAGCTTAATCCAGCACACTCCTAGTGAGCACTGCAGGTGGCACAGTTTAAGATGTCAGTCTCAATGTGTACCACAGGTACCACTGGCCTAGGCTGGCATGGCACAGCATGCAAGTCAGTGGGGCAACACCGGGGGGCCAGATTATGGGGCTCCAGGGGCCAGCTCCAGCCCACAGGCTGTATATTTGACACCCCCCAATTTAGATGGCTATACAGGATTTGCGTTACGAAATCAGTTTATACTACAACTCTTGATTGCATGGCGTGCCAGGCATATCCAGGACATTTGCCCCCAAGTGGTCTTCAAAAGGAACTTTGACTCCGGACAAGCTACAGAAGTAGGCAATTTGGCATCTCCCCCTCCCTCCCCCAAGTGTGGGCACCACTAGCTTCATGACACCTTTTTCGGCCAGTCTAGACAAGAACATCCAGGAAAGGTTCTGTTCGTAGAGCAGGAGGCTACGACACACTACAGGAGTAATAGTCAAGGGGGACCAATAATCTCTCACAGGGCCAAACAAGACAGAATCAAGTTTAAAAGGTACAGTTTTGCCCCCCTCCCCAAATCAGCCAGTGTGTATGGTAGCCTCAGAGGCCCAAGTTCAGGAAGCTCGTACCATTCAGGATTCTCAGGGTGAAGTTCATCCTCACAGACTTTATGGAATGGACACTTTGCAAGAAGCGGGAAGCAGGTTGTATCACTGTCAGGGAAGGGCTAGTCACACTGGTACTAGAGGATCCTGAAGGGGTAGAAGTCTCCATTGTTTTGGAGGAGGCCGAGATGGCAGCGGTCAGACTCACTGTAGCACAGGATGGGGCCAGGAGGAAAGGAGAGTGAACTTTCAGATAACATCCCCCTCAGACAACCTCTGCCCCCCCCACCAACCCAATCCCCTCAATTCTTAACTCCACCCAAAAGAAATCCACATACACACTTAAGGCCTAATAACCCAAAATCTCTGAAATATTTCAAATAATGGAGATAAGCCAAACCCATGAGCTTCTATCAGGAAGTTGATTTAGTTACAAACAGAGGATACATATCTTGTTAGCTAGAGATAAAAGAAAACAACTTTATTGTATTTAATAAATCAATGAAGAATAAGTCCCTTTTTCTAGAGGGACGCACAAGTTGACTGAAGGCAATTAAAAAGCTACCCACCTTAAAGCGCTCACAGAACCTACAGTCCACCCTGCTGTTGAGCTAGAGGAATCAGTCCATGGTGGGATTTTAGACCCATGACATTTTAGGAGAAGGTAACTAGAGCCTCCTTTCTACACTGAACAGTAGTGTTCAGCTTAGTTTGATCTGTTCTCCAGAGGTGTGCAGAGACTGGAAAGGAATGACTTGCCCCTAAAAGAGGTCCTACTTCCCCATACTCACCCCAAAACATTGAACATTTGTTTGTACTATGGAGCATTAGCCTTCCATAGTCCTTTTGTTACTGGGAAACAGACAGAAAATAAACTTTCCATCTAATGCTTTTGCTTGCAGTCTTTGATCACATACTCGTTTTGACCTATGCATTATGTGGACACTTTAGTATTAACCCACACCGCAGAGCTAGCCTCAGCATGATAACAATGGCTCCAGGACTAGACATTTACACCTCCCCCTTCATGAATAAGGGGATGTAGCTGGAACTAGTCAGAAGACAAGTTTATTAGAAACACCAAGGAAGGAGCAACTTGGCCCACAGAGGAGCCTTCATTTGCTGCACAAAGGACCAACCAACTTGGAGTCATTCTCCAATTTGGGCCTCAGAAGCATAAGAGATGCAGTCTGCCTTGCTAGGTTAGAGCTAGGATTCCTGCCCAGTGAGAGAGGTTCCAGGTTTCTTTGCATCCCAGGCATGCCTTGTCTGGGTGCAGTTTGAGACCACATCTTACCATGGAGCAGGCTTACTAGGGGATTTCTAGGTTTGGAGCATGCAAGCAGTGCATCTCTGCTAGGACACGCTGCAGAGTAGGCACATTACTGGGAACTTCTGACATGGCTCTTGAAGAGGGATAGCAGGATCCCAAGGCTCTGCAGAAAAGCCACTTATTCAGGTGCTGGGGCAGGAGGAATGCTGCTACAAGAAGTTAACTAGTTTGCATGTTGGCAGCTGACTGGCAGGGGCTGGGGGCATGTCTGGCTACTTGACCAAGTAGTTCATTTTAAAATGGGAAAAAAAAAAAAAAAAGTTCACCCCCACCCCTCTTGCTTGGTTATAGAAGTGCACACCTAGCCTTCAAAGCATCCCTGCCCTATCCTCAGCTGGAAAGAAGATGGTTGCGACTCCCAGCAGTTAGCTCTTAGGATATTATTGCAGGTGAGAGAACTCCAGGTAGTAATATCTAGTGTCAGAAGTTTCTTTCCTAAAAGATGGAACAGTTCTAGTTCTTACCATTCAGGGCCTTTTGGAAGAAACTCATCTTTGTAGACAGTTTAGTGGTATTCTGCAGACCAGGATCTGTGGCACTAGAAACTGCTGCAGTGGAGTAAGGGGAGCCATTCCATTGTGTGGCTACCAGCTCCCAGGTAACTAGAGAAGAGAGCACATTTGGTTATTTCCTTGACCCAGATAGGAAGTCCTCTTCATGTAGTTATCAAGCTACCTCTCCCCTTCAAAGGCATATTAACCATCCTTACTCCACCCAGTGGGGAGAGACCAAGCATAGAAAAGCCCTGAAGGTACTCAAAATTTCTAGATCCTTGGGGCAGACAACGCATGGTCATGGCAGAGCAAAGTATTGCAGCTGAAGTCCAAGTTACCACATAAGAGAGGTAGTCACACAAGCTTCAACTGTTAGAGGGGAAATTCTCTGTACAGTAGGCAGATAGACTGTAGTCTAGGTAGATCTGTACCATGCCATGGGCTAAGTGTGGCCTTTGTGGGCATGCAGCCACCAAGAACAACATCACCCCCCCCAGGCAGCTGGCAGCTTATTGAGCTGTCACAATAATAGCCTTAAGGAAGAAGCAAGCAGAGAATACTAGAGTCAGGTCAAGTCATGGTTTCGTCAAAAAGTTTCATAGTAGGAGGTTTTTCTGGATTCACGTGGCTGAAAGAAGTCTCAACTTTCACTTAAAAGTAGTTTGTAGCCCTCACAGTTGCCAAGAAAAATATTGGAGTCTTGTTCCAGGCACACTAGAAGCTAAATAAAGCCACTTCAAGATTGGTTATTAGATCAGGCTCATGAATAGCCAAAGCATATAGACAATATTAGAAGCAAGCTCTACCCCTACCCATCTTCAGGGAGGTCCCTTCAAGAAAGCACTGGATTGTGCTGTATGTCATCTTGCTACTGTGCCTCACACTACTATATGCAAACTGGCCTTACAGTCAAGATACTTCTTTAGCATTAGAATTCTAACACATGGTCACTTAAGGAAAAATGGGTGGACTTATTCAGTGTCTCAACATCTTTCGTCATCTTAGCCACCTAACACAATATAGTTATCACAGTACATTGTATCAGTGTGTAAAGGTTGCCTATGGAGAAAGTGGTTTCTCCTAGCACTTTCAAACAGCAAGATAGAGTAGTTCCTCCTCTGCTAGCCTTATAGGAAGGTCCTTGTAGAAGCACTACCCTAAATACCCACCCATGGGCCCAACCCTTTTCCTATGTAGAATATAGGCTTAGACTTCAAGTGATGGAAAATGCCCTAAATGGGGCACTTTTTTTGAGGACATGCTGCAGATTAGAGATTACAAGCTTTATGACTCATTGCATTAGACAGACAGCCTAGTAGTTCCATTCCACAGAGCGTTGAAATGGAAACTGAGTCTTGTCCAAGAGATAGCAGAACAGAAGCATTCCTGACAGTTCCCAGTCAGATAAACTAAGCAGGGAGCAAGTCTCCTATCAGAGAGAAGAGTCCAGACAGGGAATGCCAGAGGCAGATAAAGGAACTGAAGCAAGCATACACAGCTAAGACAATGGCTAATCTTTACCACAAAAGCCCCACAGCATCAGATGAGAACAAAAGACAACAAGCAAATATCCAAACACCATTTTAAACAACTTCCAGTAATAGTCTAATACTTCAGAAACATGGGTCCAAGCTACAACTTACCAGGCACCCCAAGCACTGTTACCCAGAGGCTAACCAACAGGACAACTCCACAAAAACCCATCCTAGAAAACAAAAAAGTCAGAATTACATTGGCCAAACCCATTTAAATAGGCCTCACAGCAGGCCTGGCGAGAGTAAACAAGACCCACCTGAGCCTGTTTCAGCCCAAGTGCTTTGCCTCTTCATTGGGCAGCTTACCTAGATAAGCACCTGGGGGAGCTCAGGGAGGTTTCCTGTGAGACTAGGCACACCTGCAAGTTTTGCTGTGCCCTAGCTGGTGCATGGGCATGTTTGTAGGCTCATCTGCTAGTGATTTCATCTTTACCTAGAAATGGGTCCTGCTAGCATCACTGCAGAAATAAGGACTATGGAAGCAAAACCTTTAGTGGAGCATGGCCTTTGGGGCATGAGGATTCAGGGATATCATAATGTGCTGAGAGGAGTTTTCCCCTTCCAGTTAGCTGACAAATGCTTAGTGATTATGTTTGCATCCAGCACTGAAGTGTGAGGATTTCTGTCCAGCCCTGCTTTCAGATTGCTCTGACCTAGATGCTGTCTTGCCCATTGGGTTTCCTGAGTCTCTTGCTTCCAGCAGAGCTGCATATTCTCTAAGGGTAACCAGCTGTTCAGTGACAGAGGTCTGGATTACTGAAGTATCTAGATGCTACTGCCTGCTGAGACTGGGGCTCCATGGTGCTAGGAGCCACACAGGAAGAGACAGTCCTACCCTGGTGGTGATACCACTCTACAGGGGGGAATGATGGGGGAAGGGAAACCAATGGGTGGCCTTCAAATCTCAGGAAAGGTCTGGATCAGGCTCAGGGAGAAGGCTTGGGGTCTCTCTCATTAGAATTGTTCATTCCTGTTAATTTCCCTTCTGTTCCTCCTCTGATGGTGGCCCAAACAAGTGTCTCATGCAAAAAAGAAGCCAGTTCACAATGAACATGCAAGTGCCCTTGTCTCTTGGCCCATCCAGCCTGTGAGGTCCTGGCAGTCTCTGGAACTCCTGGCAATGGGTTCCTTCTACCTGCTCTGTCCACTGTTTCAGGCCCCACTGGGACAAAGCCCTCTATATCCCAGAATGATGCCTCTCCAACTTGGCAGCCCACATCCCTCTGTGCTAAGAGTTGCTGCAGAATGTGATGGTGACTGTAACAGCTGGTCACTGACTACTCAGGACCAGGTAGAGCCGAACTTGGAGACAGGGATTAAAGGAGAGAGCAGCCCATGCTAAGTACAAGATACACCATGGTAGGAGAGCTACCTGGAGGGAAAATCTATGTTCTTTCTTGCTGAATGGTCAAGCTAGCCGGGGGCGGGGGAGAACAGGGAGCCACACACAGCAAATTTGAGTAGGGGGAAATATTGTTTAATCATTCATGTAACATCACAGAGGCCCAAGCATTCTCTACCCTCCAGAAGTAACAATGGGAGAGAAATTTCCTCAGCAGAAATTGTATGTATGTGCATTTGTAACATGGTTGTGAGCAAGTGGGACAGGAAGGAGCTGGGATTTTTTGGCGCACACCCATGGAGCAAATGCTCCATCTTGATGCTTCTTACTGACCTCACTGCCCCCAACTCCACTGCTGGATCATGAACTATATGGCTAGTGCTCACCTCCCCCTACACTGTGGCTGCCCACTGCTGTGCCAACTGCGTGTGTCTCAGGGTTTTGTTTACAGCAGGTTTTTACACTGTGCCCATCACCGAAGCAACTGAGCACCTCTGAAGAATGCTCTTTCTTGTTGGCAAGAAGCATGTTGCCTTCCCATACGACCTCATCCCATTTCATCCACCCCCAGAGGCCTCAGTATGAGGGAGTTGTGTCCTTTTGGAGAGAAAGCCCATGCTTTTCTCCCCACAGCTACTCCACTCCCCTTCTCTCTGGTGAAGGCAGGAACCAAGAACAGCTCAGGCAAATAAGCCTTCTTGGCTGCCCTTTAACCAACAGGCACTTGATGTCCTCTTGTTCAATCCACTGAAAGCAATGCCATTCCCTTTTACAACCCAAATTCAGTGGCCATACACTCATTCAGCTTTATAGGCAGACAAGGTTATTTGGGTAAATGTGGTATCTTTTATTAGGCTAACTGAATAGTTGGAAAAATTGTTCTTTGCAAGCTTTCAGGCACAAGCACCTTTCTTCAAGCACAGGGAGAATCTGCTGGTCTTATCTTCTCTCTAGAGTAAAATAAAAGCTTAAGCCAATATGCAAAATGCAGGGCTGTGAAAATGCAAATGCACAGCAAGGAAGATCAAAGGGGATAGGAGTTAATGGGTGTGAAAGACGTAGGTAGAAGAAAAAACCAGAGAGGGGAATGTCAACAGATGATAAAATGTATCCGGGAAATTGTAGAGAGGGTATGTGGGGATATTGTTCATGCACTTTATTAACACAGCCTTTATGGTGACGTCTGTTTATTTCCTGCTCATTTACCAGGGTATGGAGCAACCACAGCTTGGGCAGAAGTGTATTTAAAATAAGGACTTTTATCTCCAATAAGAAAAGAATACTGGTGAGTCCAGATGGTGTCCTCTTTCCATTGCTGAGCAGTATCTCCGTGTCAAAGCCTGGGTAGGTGTCCTCATTTCATTTGGCAGCTGCTGTTTAAGCTGTGGCATTTTCCTGCCAGAGAAGCCTGCCTTAAAACAGCTTGAGGTACAGATTTTTTTTGCATAAAAGACCATTGGACACCAGTTTCACAAATACTGTATATGTAAATTTAACCAACATTTTGTTTTGGAATAAACCACTTCCTAAAATATGAGATGTTTTATTTTGAAAAATTCAATAGTAAACATTTAGGTTTTAGGCTTGAAATAATGTTAATGGGAATTTTGAAAAGAATTTTTTTTTTTTTTTTTAAATGATTGCATGCGACAGGGCTATCTAATGACCAGCCAGGTTTCATAAAGCAAAGTGTTATGTATTCAGAATTAAAGCATTTCAGAGAAAAATCTCTCACTATGACAAAGCTTAGAAGCTGTTTGCTTAAATGTTTAATGTCCTGTTTTGATTAGCATAGGTAGGACCCACTTCCAAGGCCCCACTCTTGAAATTGTTGGTCATTGACATTACTGGATTGAGTGTGAGAGAATCAAGGAACCTGGTTTTCTCCTATTTAACACCCCCCTCCCCCCATTTTCAGTTTAAGTAGTACTCCCAAATCACCACATTCTAATTCACAGAAAAATGTGGATTTGGGGTTAGTTTTTTCTAACCAAAAATTGGGAATTTTTTAAAAATCAGAGTAAACCAGGATCCCTGGCGAGAATGCAGTCACTTTGTACTAGTCTAGGTGCCTGAAGTCTTGAAATAGCATGTATAGACTTTTAACTATTTCCCCATGGCATAAAAAAACTTCAAAACTTTGGATATCTGCGTTTTTCTGGCACTGTGATTTGGCTTAATTATGTCGCTGTGGCTTTAGTTCCTTCAGGAAACATGAACACACTGAGCCAATAATATAATCCCTTAGCAAGCCCATGGCAATACTCTTAATATTGTTAGGATGATCTTTGAATATCCTGGTGAGGGAACATGCAAGTATATCCATGTAATTACAGCACCTATTGCTTGGAGAAATTCCAGCACTAAGTCACTTAGAGAGCCAATCTTAAAAGCACCAGTGGTATTTGAAATTCAAAACACATTTTATTGATTTACTGTTCCTTTAAAACTTGTGGGGGGAGGGTTGCATGAAAAAACAAATAAAACAAAACAAGCTTGTTTTGTAAAGTAACAGGAAATTTAACATCTTGGGGTCCTTATTGTTCTCTCACTGAACTTGGAAAAAATAAAAAAGGTCCAAACATCCCCACATTACATGCCCACATTGCAGATCCAGCACTGCCTCTTACGAAGGAGATGAACCCAACCAGTATAACAATCATGTTCCTGTTTGAAAACACCTTACAGCAAAGTCTGTCAATAGCACAAATCCAGGGGCAGGCCCTTCTTTAAAGTTTAAAATTCCTGGCCACCCTAGAATTGTCAGTTGTTTCAGTGCTTGTTGCTTACCATCTCATACCACGATCACACACAGAAAAATACGGTAGCAATAAAGCGACCCATCCATCCCTTCAGAGTCCAAAAAACATTCTGTTCGATACAAAACAGCTTATTTTGTTAGACTGGGGTGGGCAAAATACAGCCTATGGGCCAGATCTGGCACACCAGCCCATTCTAAATTTAGAAAATTAATATTCATCTGCTCCTCGTTGCCTGTCAAAGATGACAGGACACAGGGGCAGTAGGATCCAGGGGGAGCCAGGCAGGACTCAGCAGCCCAGAAGCAAGGCCTGCTTGGCCCTGGCCAACCCCCAGCCAGAAGCCCTGTGCTTGGCAGAGCCTTCTGGCCTGGGTCCCTGGGGTTGTTCCTGCCTTCCTGCACCTGAGAGGTAAATGGAGATAAGAGTGCTGCGGGGGGAGGCAGGGGAGGACTATGGGCAATTGCCTCAGTCCTCAGGCCCAGGCAGCTCCTGCTGAGTCCCACAGTCTGGCCACACAGCTGGGAGCCAGTAGGAAAGCAGAGAAATGGCAGCTACAAGTGGAGGAAGGGGCAGCAAGCAGGCATGTGGGGTCCACCCACGGCCTCCCCACAAACCCCACACCCACCCCTATTCCCAGAAACTCCCCCTACAATATACAAGAATAAGACTTCATTTTAAGCCATTGTGCAATCCCCTCTGCATACACCACACACACACAAAATCAGGACAAAGATTTTTTTTAAAATCAAATTAATGAATGTTGTAGATGTTCGCTTTTTAGAATATAAGTTTGGTATTTTTCTGGTACTGAAATGGCAAAACCCATTTCTGAAAGGAGTACTTCTTGGGGCAAGGGGAGGGACTTCTGGTGGCAAAGATCAGGGCAGGAGTTCCGGTCCCAAGGGGCAGGGCTACCCACACAGCCCTTGACAGCTTGCCAAAACTCAGTAACAAGCTGCCCATCCCTGTTAGACAGACAGTGAAATGAGATAGTCATGATGTCGATTCGAGCAGGAAGGTGGAACTATGCAACTTTCTGTGGTCCCTTCCAACCCTTTTCTTCTACAGTTATAGAACTGGCCCCATCTGCCGGTTGTTACCACAGGACTAAACCTGAGGGCTTGGGACATTGCAGTGTGATTAGGAAATTACAGCAGATGCTGTGGCATGTAGCTGTCGATTTTTGAGTGGTGGCTGCTGATTCCTGTCACCCTGGCTCTCTTGTCTGCTTCCTTAGTTAAAGAATAGAGAAAAAAGCCAAATCCATACTCCTGCGATTCTGTCCCTTCATACTCTCAAACTACGTGCCAGGTCATTACAGAATTGTGCAAGTGCATCTTATTGAGCTATGGATACTCTAGAAAGGAGAAACATCTGGAGAAAAAAAGAGGAACCAGATGTTGTTTGAGCTGATGGGCCTCACAGGGCTGCACAAAATACTCCTGAAGGAACTGCTTGCTCCAGAGTGACTTTGCCATCGCTGTTTTTAAACCCAAAAGCTTGCTAAGAATTTTCTCCCCCCAACTATTTGGTTGGTCTAATAAAAGATATCACATTTGCCCAAAGAACCTTGTCTGCCAGAAAGTAGAAAGACACTTTTAGAAATACTTCTAAGGATCTCAGGTCCAGGATGACACAAATGACAGCCCTTGGTCTTGCATAAGAAGTTAGCAGTTAAAAATCACCTGGCGTCCTTCTCAAGAGATCTTTGTCTATATTAAGGTGTTTTTCAAATATTTCCAACTCCTGTCAACACCAATGCAGTGTCATTAGGGGCTAGAAACCCTGTCTTGCCTTGATTACCAGAATGTTGTTTAAGTGCCTGCTGCTCCAGGCAAGCCTGCACCAAGGGAATTTAAAACCAGCAGGGTACTTACAATCAGCTGCCAGCAGACCTCAAACTGGAATTCCAGCACAGGGAAGACTAGTCCAGCTCTCTTGCTGGAAAATGCAGAGTGTTGCAAGCTTAGACAGGACCCAGCTGCCTCCGTTAACAAACAGAGGTGGGTTTGTTCCAAGTAGCCAACATGGTAAATAGCAAGATGGTTTTAGTCAGCAGAAGTAACACCTCAGCTTGATTCTGGAACAGAACCAACTTTTCTGCAGCATCATTTTAAACATGAGGTTGTGAACTCAGAAGCTGGCTTCTGAACTACCATGAAAGCAGATACAGCTCCTAGCAGAGCTGGGAAACAGCTATATTTCTCCAGGTCACAAGTACTAGCAAACATTGGGAGAAGAGGGATTTGTTTTAAGGGAGGAATCATTTTCATGCTGTTCTTACCCAGCCTCAAGGAGGGATGTGTTATCAGGAGTAGTCTGACTTCTACCTGAAGTTGCTAGTATGAAGCTATAGTACCTTAAATTCTCTCGTGTGCTTTTGGGAGAACACAGGAGAAGGTTTGGCTGATCTAGAGTCGCACTTCAGATTCATTAGCAGATTAGAGAATCTAACTTCTACTGTTCCTTACAGCCTGCTCTGAGAGTCACTGTTAAGTGAATGCAAGACATTACTGTAGTGAGAGCGATTCTGTGCTGCAGAAGCCTGCCAGCTCAGGCTTTTGAATTAAGGGCAGGGGCCAGGCAGTGTAATTTGATTGTCTGCTACTTAAAACAGGCTGCAGAGTGACCGAGTGAATCCTGGCCCACTGGCTGCATACTAAGTGTGACAAGGCAGAGGCATGACTTCTAGACCAGAAGAATCACTGACCCAGCCCTGATTTCTTCAGGTGGAAGGTAGTGTCCTACCCCAGGCAAAAGGGAAACTTTTTATTGGCAGGCCCTTAGACACCATTAAAAAAGGAGTTTCAAAAGAGCTTAGCGTTCAAGTTATGCTGCTGGATATGACAGCTTCTATGCTTTCCTTGGCTCAGCATGCATTAAAATAGGGCTGTCCAATACACAGCTCCAGGCACAGCTCCCCACACTGCTCTTCTGGGGCTGCCATCAGGGTCTCTGGCCTTTCCTTCCCTCCTCAAGCTTTTACTTCCTCCCCCAGGGAAGGAGTGGGGTAGGGGGAGGAAAGCAGGAAGGGTCATGGGTACAGTCCCTGGCCATTCAGAAGTTGGACAGCTCTGTATTCAAGAAGGCAGCTACTGCAAGACAAGGTTAAACTACAGAGATGCCTCCCAATACTTGGTGCTCCCTCATCCCACCCTGCAGAAGCCGAGATAGATCACAGATTAAGACATATACATGCACATATTCTCTAAACTTTTTTTTTTTAAAAAGCCGCCAAACAAAACAAACCCACAACTTCGACTCATTCCACATCTGTACTAAACATCTGCTTCTGCTGTAATCAGTCCCTCAGAATCCGAGTCCTCAGCCATCTTGATTCTGAAGCAGCGGCCACTGTGGTGGGAGAAGCCCAGACACAGCACCACTGGCACTGCAGCCATAAGCAGGACACCAATAGCTGCAAGACAGGGGTGGGGGAAAGTTTCAAGAAGCAGCCATACCTGTGGCAATTTAGTAATCCAAGGCCCTTCCCTTCCAATATAAATAGAGAAAAGTAGTTAGTCATGTTTGGCTGAAATCATGCAGAAGCACATCAATTAGTACATCTCTACCCCGACCTCTGCCTCTACATGGCGAGGGTTCCTTGCTGAACACTCTGCATCTATATGCACATAGCTTGGGTACAGGTTTCATGCACAGATTCATTAAACCTGTAAGGCCTAGTCAACCTAAGGCAAGGGCTTCTCCCACCATCCCTCCCCACTCTAGGAGCATGTCAAGGCAATTATTTCTTACTACTTTTACCCTAGAGCTCTCACAGGTGAAGCACCTGACAGCCTGTCTGTGAGAAACATCATATTAACTGGCTAGTACAACTTGAAAAAACGGCCCTGTCTTCATGGAAGGATACCACTCCAGTGTACCTTTTGGTAGGTAGGTCAAGGCTCTCAGCTGCCTGTTAAGGCTGTGTGCTAGGAGACTTGAAAGCAATATGTGGGCAAAGGCAGCACCTCTCCATAGGAGAGCCAGACACCCACAGCATTTCCAATTAAAATATTGAGACCAAGAGTACAGGTCAGGGAGAGGAGGGATATCTGCAGGGATTGTGGCTACAGTTCATATATTCCATCTTCTCAGTGATTAGAGGGAGAATTCTCTTGAACAAGGAGGCAGGCAGTTCACGAGTGCTTCTCCGCTCTACTTCCCAATTTGGTAAATGCTCAGCCAATGACTCCTAGCTTTATGGGCAGCGAGGCACCAGCTAGAGAAGGACATATTAACCCTTCCTCACTATATTCCAGGACACCTTAATTCCATCAGCAGTCGAAGCTCCAAGTCACAAAACCAAGTGAAGATGGTTACCTTTATAATGGTTGACCGCAAGAGAGCCATTTGTAGCTTCCCGTCTTTGGAGCTGGTTTCTGGATCTTCAAGGGCCCAAGTACAACAGTATGGATAAGCCCTCCTTTCTCTGCAGAGTCTTAGGATAAAAAGACA